CCAAATCCCAAATACTAGTAATTTGGAATTTTGGCATCCCAAATCCCAAATGATTTGGGATTTGGGCAACATGTATATATAAAACGGATACCGTGAATCTTAAAACTGAAAATATTGAGCTTAAAGATAGAATCACAAAATTGGAACAAAAACAGACCCAAAGTATTACTAACGAACAAGAGGAGTCTTTTATCTTATCACTTTTCTCGGGTCAAACTGATGAGGTGGAAGATATTAATCTCGATCCTATACCTGAACTAGAACATAGCTCAATACAATCTGAAGAGACAAAGTCTCGAGTCTCCGACTCATCTTTAACAGATCCTGAAGCGTCTATTACTTCTTTGCCACAAGATATTATTGATAAGGATATAGCTGAGACCTTAGATTTTGTAGAAATGGTATATAAGGAACAGGTCAGTAAAGATATAATGGAGAGGATTAGGGAAAAGAAACTTCAGGATCAAGACTTATCTTCGGATAGAGACGTAGTCCCATTGCAAGGCAATAATAATTCATCATGTGATATAAAAACCGTTTCCCAGGGAAACGATCAGCAAAAAATTGATAACTTATCTTTGGATAGAGACGTAGTCCCATTGCAAGGCAATAATGATTCATCATGTGGTATAAAAAACATTTCCCAGGGAAACGATCAGCAAAAAACAACTACAAATACTTCTTTACCAGTGGAGAATTTTGACGATTCTGATGAAATTGAGCTTACTAAAAATCAAAATATAGAATTAGATTTAATACAAGATTTACAGAATGGTATACTTATTGTTACACCTGATCCTATAGAAACACCTCCTGAAGATATCGTAGATAATGGGCAGAGCCCAGATTCTTTGAGTCATGAAAAATCATCATCTAAAATCACAACACAAAACTTAATCAATTTGTTTAGAAAAGCTATACGATTTGGACATGAAGAAATTTTATCCTGGATTCACTATTCAGATAATTTTGAGAATAAAGTTATCGAAATTTGACGTATGACAGGAGTTAGTGATAAAACTGCAAGAACCCAAATATACAAAGAGATATTAGAACATTTATTAGGTGTTACAGCAGTTGCCTTGCGAATTAAGACTCTTAGGGTCAGAAAAAATCGTAAGCTATTTGGGGAAAACGGAGTTGGAATTGATAAAGTTAAGTATGTTACCTGTAGTGCAAATGATATTTCAAAATTAACCAATACACAAATTCAAAACATTATAAATCAAGTAACATTAAAAACCGTTTCCCAAGGAAACGATCAAAATCATGTGATCTCAACTGAGAATCTCAAATCTTTACCCAATACCGAGATAAGTGTCTCAGATACTGAAACATCACCTAATAATACGACTCAAATCTCTAGCCACTCTGTGTTTACTTTCGACAATTTCTCTGATGTTAACGAAATAAGTAGGAAAGACGAATCTTTACCAGAGATAAGCGAAGAAGTCTCACAAAGTGAGGATGTTAAATCTTTACAGGAGCTTGAGATACTCGAAAAGATTGAAAAAACTGTACAGGAGCTTGAGATATATGAAGAGATTGAGATACGCAAAAAGATTGAAAAAACTATGGTAGAGCTAGATAATGATTATGGAGAATATTTCGGGTTTTCTGGTGATGAAGATGCTGGTTATTACTATGATTTAAATAGCGGGAAAAAAACCTACAAAAGTTCATATATAGGATGTTTTGTATGATTTATATCGCATTACGTTTAGTGTACCATATATATTTGATAATAGCAGAGCTAGGCGAAAGCCATTTCTTTGAAATAGTATCTTTGACACATATTTTTTCTGTGTATATAAATGTTTAGAAGATTAAGATCAGGTGCTACACACTTATCACCCGAAGCAATTAGTGATATAATTACTGCTAAAGACACAACAAATGCATTATCGATATTAGCTATAAAATATCACATATCATATGTGCGAATTCGTGAAATGTGGAAATTTGTTATTGCGGTAAATAATTGATTTGTTATCTGTGATCACATACATAACCACTGTATGACTGCCTTCGGCAAATTATAATTACGATCGAATTCACACTCAATTATTAACACTTGCAAAACCACGAATTAAAAATAACAAATAATTGATAACTTTATTGAAAATATGTAGATAATATTTTTTAACACTAAATTATTGCAGAACAATGACTCTTCGAGCCTACAATGTAAAAGGCCGGCCTTGTAAAATTATTCGTGAAGTAGGAACAAAGAGGGAGGAACATCAGGAAATTTTTAAGGGCGGATAACTCCGTAAGTTTTCGGGATGTAAAATTTCCGTAAATTTTTGCATAAAT